CAGCTGTCGCTTAGTCTAGCTGTGTCATCACCACCTGGTGAAACAGTGGCATGTTGAGGTCTTCCCTGGACCTTCAAGCTTCATTGTGTAGAGCAGTTAGTTATTCTGCACACACATTAAGGCATGTGAACACACATACAGAGGAAGCACCCAATCTAGGAGGAAAAAGCAATATATAAGTATATTCCATCTCTGAGTTCAGTTCTGCACTGCTTTAGTGACATGATCTAGGGTAGAGGTAGTAGTCTTGTCCCCTTTAACAGGCTTTGGTCCACCACCTTCATGAGCTCCAGCCAGCACGGCCAACCAATTGTCAAAGCTTGCAGATGTTGTGATCTAAAACTATTGGAAGGCACCACATGGTCTACCCCCATGTTTTAGGGGGAAAGAGAAACAGACACCAGAAAATAGAAGTTCATGTGGGCCCAGTTAACCCAGTTTCCTCTACTAAAACACATACCATACGTGAAAAGCTCCTGCAAGTATTGCCAAGTGGAATGGGGAGAGAGCACCAGCTGAGATCTGATTTAAAAAGCAAATCAGGTTAGTTGACAAGGGGCCCTGAACCTTTCCTGTTCCTGCTGCTGGCTTGTTCCTAGCTTCTACACAACTTGTCATCCTATACAGGTCACTTCCAACATCAGAATGGAATTAAGAGGAAAGACAGTGGGGCAGCAGGAGAGAGACAGATTGTGAAAAGGCAAGCTGAGATTGGGATGTAACGGAGAATGCACACTCTTGTGTGCATGCTTCATGTGCTGCATCCACAGAGACCCTGTCCCCTTGGTCTACAAGAGAGGAGAAGATCTGCCATCATCTGTTTAAAGGGACAAAGGAAACAGACTGTTAGCTGGGACAAACGGAAGAGAGGGCTGAATGTGCTGCCTCCATCCCAGGTGCAAGAGACGCCAAAGACAGGCAAGGGAAGGTTTAGCTGCAAGTCCGTATACCTCTTTATCTAATTCTTGGCCGTGTCTCATATTTAAGTGAATGGCTTCCTTTCCATCCTATGGGAAACCCACAGCCCTACACTTTTTTTTGGGGGGGGCACTGCTGTAGCAAGGGCAAAACAGTCTCTTCTCCCCAGACCCCACCCCACCCAGCCTGCTCTGATTGGCAGCTTCTGCTAAAGGTCGCTTCACAACAACAGAGACAGAGAAACACGTCCCCACCTGCTCCCAACTTGAATCTCAATGTATATTTCGCTCTGAAAAATAATCTGTTTGGGGACAACCCACGCTGTCACCGGAGGAAAAAAACTAGATCATGTTTATTTTCTTCTACCTACAAAGCAATTGTGCTCAAATATTTGAAGCTCCAGCTTAATAAGGGGAAAGGCCTATGACAGAAAAATGGGATTTGAAATAAACTCATTGGATTAACGAGACTGGTGCCAAACTGTGTTCAGATCACTCAGAGGGCTAAGCTTGTCCATGGCAACAGTATGTCAGCTCATCAGGAAGAAATCCAAACATTTCTAGGACAACCTTGGAAGCCTGCTTTCTTTCTTGCACCTTTGGGTCAGCTCTAAACTGTGTAATCCTTGCTTCTGATTTAATGACAGCAAGGAATCATTCAGAAGCACTCCTACGCACTCCAGGCCTTCTCTAGGCCAATTAAATTTCTCTCTATGGTTCCTGCCCCACCCTCGCCCCGGGACCTGATAAGCAATACGGGCTTGGCTCTGCTATCTCTTTCTCTCACACAGAGGCCATCCGGCCTATTTAGTAACATCTTGTCTTCTTTTCCACGTATAGAGGCTAAAGGATACCACTGAACCTACCCAGCTTATAATACTGGGGCTGTATTATTATGAATCATGAATCAAGTGGTATCTATCCCAACTTCAACCCACGAAGTTCCCCTTTGGCTTATAAAGAAAGATGAAATCCTAAGCATGTGCATTTCACAAACCAGGTGCCAGAGCTTCTGCACTGCAAATACCTATTCAAGAGCTCTTCAAAAGTAAAAGAAACACATAAATAAATGTTATCAATGATCTTTTCCTGGTTACTATCTCTCATCCCCACCCAAATTCAAAAGGCAGTCTAGGTGTGCTTCTTTTGAGATGCTAATGGTTGAATTTGCAGGTGACTCTCTCTGCTACAACTGGCCCAGGGGATGATAGGATAAGGTATCCTGACTTGTTGGTGTGCATGCACTGAGAGTATAAGTCAATACAGAACACTTAGAAAACATAAAGCTCCCAGCCCCTCCAAGTGATTAGTAGAAATGCCTGTTTACTCAACAGCTCATGAGCTCATCTTTGGGAAGAAACCAGAGAAGAAACAGAATAAAGCAATGTAGAACCATTTGAGATGAATAAGACTGAATATGTATTGAACCTTAATAAAAATGTTGAGAGGAAGAGGAAAGGCCAGCAACCTAGCAGAGGTATGGTTCTCCATTCTCCTAAGGTTGTGTGTTGTTGACCCGATAAGGCCAATTGTTTTTTGATGGTGTTCACTATGCTATATCTGCAAACTCGGGAAAAATAGGTTTGTCTGCATTGTATGCAACAGTATCATGCTATCCTAAAAGGTTCATTTCCTGTGTGCTTTGCATAAACATGAGCAAGTGCTTTAATTACACTAGCTAATTCAGCAGCCACCATGTCCAAGTAGAAGCACCTAGCAGGGACATATCTGCTCAGGTTGCATTAGTCTGCTACAACTATAAACGTAAAGGTATGTGTTCATAATCACATTTTCAAAGATGTGTACCTAATATTGTTTCAGTGCAGGAGTAAGAACATTTTAGCCACCCAGATGTTTTGAGCTGTAGCTCCCAGAAGCCTCAGCTTGCATGGGCAATGGGAAAGGATTACAGGACTGGTAGTCGAAAATATCTGGCGAACTCTAAGCTCCCTGCTAGGCTTTGGCCTATGCCAGAATTGTAAAAAGTAGTGCAACAAATTTGTTTCTGATCACGGGGCATTCTTGGCAAAGATACTGGAGTGGCATTGCCAGTTCCTACTCCAGGTGGACTGCATTTAGTCGGAACTCTCCACTATGTCCTGTCCGTCTTGGGTGTCCCTGCACGGAATAGCCCATAGCTTTTCTGAGTTACTCAAGCCCCTTCATCACAACAAGGCAGCAATCCATGAAGGAAGGACAGATCTTGAAGCTGAGCCTCCAGTACTTTAGCCATCTAATGAGAAGAAAATACTCCCTGGAAAAGCCCCTGATGTTGGGATAGTGTGATGGCAAGAGAAGGGGACGACCGAGGATGAGATGGCTGGACAGTGTCTGCAAAGCAACCAACATGAATTTGACACAACTCCGGGAGGCAGTAGAAGATAGGAGGGCCTGGCGTGCTCTGGTCCATGGGGTCACGAAGAGTTGGACACGACTAAACGACTAAACAACAACAGTGCAACAAATGTATATTAGACAAATATACCTGACAAAGGTCAGATGCCACTGAGCCATGAAACTCACTGGATTGACCTAGGCTCAGTCATTCTCTGCCTGACCTACTTCACAAGGTCGTTGTGATGACAATGTAGGAGGAAAATAGCTAAGTAGAGGAAAGGTCAGGTAACAGAGTGAATAACAAATAAGTAAGATAAAATACGTTGTGAGTATTTTGGGAAATAGATGCAGCCCTAATTTCTATATTCAGCAGCCAGGTAGGGCTTACATCCAGGAACAGGAAGTGGTATTTCTTAGAATGTGCCAATATAGATGTAGGTACGTATAAGCCTAGGTTTTTCTTTTTGTTAATTTTCAGGATTATTTGTAAATGTACTTAGGTACTAAAGGAGAAATACCATAAAGTGCTACTCTTTGATCCCTGAAGAACATTCCTTTTGCAGGACACCTGAACTCTAAGGACTGGTTCTGTCTTACGTGGCCAAACTGCATTTGGGCTCCATCACAGCCCGGAATGTCCTCAAACACCATCACCCCTCCCCAATTCCACAAAGCAAATTAGTCAGCAAGGAGAAAAATTGTAGTTTTGCCTTGTCCCTGACATGTAATTTTCCTCCTATGGTGGTTCCTGGCCCCCAACCCAATGGAATCCTCGAGTTATGTGAATTCCCCCCTGCTGTCTGAAGAGGCACTACCTCAGATGTTCTCTATATTTCAATGTGAAGAAGGTCCCCCACGTGAGGTACCATTGTGACATACAGTGCATCTCTGATCCACTAAAACACAGGTGTGCAGGGTACAAGCTGCCTAGGGCTCCCAAGCACAGACCAGCCCTTGGACCCAACCTCCCCCCTCCCCTAGTTGTTGTTTTTTTTAACCTCCACTTCAAGATCTTAAATTGTGTCTCTCACAGATCTCCTGGCAGAGGATTCACTGTTTTTGAACAAAAATGGTTTTGATGGAGTGTCAGGGCAGTCAAGAGACAGTTGCAGGTCTTCTTCTGGAGAAGACAAAATAGCCCTGGGAACTTGGAAAGCTGCTGAGCACTGCATTCAAAGATATACGGAAGATTTTCAAAGCAGCATTACAACCTGGTTGGCTACGTTCCAAATAACCCAAGTAAAGGAACTGCGTTTACATTTTTCAGACAAGAAATGAGCAAACATTCTTCTTAGGGAAGTGCTTGCCTGCTTCTCCTGAGTGTTGCAAGATCAACATGTCAAAATTAAAGGGGGCTGTAAAGATAAATCCCTGCTACAAGAGAGCTGGTGAACCACAAGTCAGAAGAATATTATTGTGTGGGCTGTGAAGTTCTGGAAAGGCATCTTTCAAATTAAAAACTTGGCAATCCTTTTCCAGCAGGGCCAGCCAACAACATTTTGCTGCCTGAGGCAAAAGATTCCTCTTCAGCTGCGATTCTATGTGGGGGATCTGACTTGACTGAAGTTAAATCTTAACTTCAACACTGGCAATGGGGCAATATTTATCACTGCATAGGACGGCAGCAGGCTTATTTAGGGGGTACAGGGAAGGCTGCATGAAACATATACTGTATGTCTCTCCCTCAACGCCTCACACTAACCTCCTCCCCTCCCCCCCCCACAGCATTTACCTCATAGTACAACCAGGCCTGATTTCTAGTCATGCAGCTGCTGTTGCTTTAAATATGCAGGAGGAAGAAAATAATTATAAAGGCCAGAAGTAAAGAACATAATTGTCAGCAAAAAGACAAAACATTCAAGCAGTCTGCTCTAAGAACAAAAAAACCAGTCAAAAACTGAAAGACAAATTAAATTATGCAGTTGTATTTAGCAACCAAGGTTAAAGCACCTTCAGGGGTTTTTTTTCAGTGCAATTTGGTTTGTCCTTTAGTTGAAAAAGCAGCATGTATCGCAGACCATGAATGGGCCAACATAGAGTGAACCCTTTCTAGAAGATTCTGTAAGGGAGCATACCTTTTAACAATTACAGATGTGAGGAACTGCCAAGTTCACTAGGGCAGTAGCAATCGTATGGTGAGAACGGCCTGCTCTGCCAGTTAAAAGCAAGCCAAGCAGCCTTTACTGAGCACCTTTTTAACGTATCCATCGGTTAAATGGTGGATGCCTGTAAATCTTGTACTTGAAGCAGAAGACAGACCTGGGAAAAGACAGGCAATCCAAACAAAATTATGCATCAGCATTCGCCAGTAGGTGTGGTTACAAGTTAGCTCAGTTAGACAGACAGAGAACTGAATCATCCACACTTTCTCATGAGAGCAGCACTAAACTACTGGCATGAGCAAAGGATATGAGGCCTGGCTCCTATGGAATACTGTGATACCTGGAAATCTGCATGCCCAAGCTTCTTCCATTGTTGTTTTGATGGATCATTCTTTAACTTAAAAAGTTCACACTTCTCAACTAGTTAGTATAGTTTCTATTCAACATGTGCTGTTGTTCCAGAATATGGGTTCGCTTACATCCTGTAAGACGGATACAAAAATAAATTCTCAGGTTTCATATCTTTCCCTCAGTGGAGCTGGCAGATGATAAGTCATTCGTTTGTCCCTGATGGTTCCTCAGTCCAGGCCCTCATGGAGGTGGAGGTAGTTTCAGGTCCAACAAACTATAGGCAAAAATGTTCCAGAAGATGGCAAAGAGAACAAACACCACGTACATGGAAATAAAGATCCACCACAAGGACTGGTCTTGGAGTCTCTGCTCATAGTTCCTAAGGATGACCACACCAAGGGTGATTCCAACAGCCACGCCACCCAGGTGGGCGACAAAGCTTGGATGCGGGCAAGGAGGGTAAGCAGATGGATAAAACCTCAGCCACACAGCTCTTCCAAATTCAAAGCTCACTGAAAGAGAAGGGAGTAGTCACAGTAAAACAAACACACCCTTTTGATTTATGTCCACCTTCTCACCAAGGTTGGTGTGACAGCAATCAAAGGCAGGATTGGCATTCTGTGTGCCACAGGGCTGTTGCCAAAACCAGGACCCTCTGACACACTCCCACTTTCCGTAATGTGTAACCACATGTATCCCATGTTCGGATGTCATCATGTTGTATGTTTCCCTGCAGACATGGCAACAGTGACGTGATTAATGCTGTGAGATTAGGACCAACGTCATGTGTTACAAAGTGGAAAGGGGAGACTGTAGTGTGGGGATGCTGTTATGACCAGAAGGCTATGATGGTACTTCTGTCCCTGTAAAGCACAAAATTATGAATAGAAGATCTGTACTTTACTCTTGTTGTGCCCTTCGTGCATGAATCAATGAGAGCAATAATCAATAGTACAAGTAGGATCATGCTTTCCCATCTGTCACCCAAAATTCTGGTTACAGGGGCTGTTTATCTGAGGAATGAAAGGGAGCAAAATAACAGTAGTTGTAGAAGATAAAACTTTAAAAGAACTTTTAAAAAAATGCATATCAGGTTATGTCAACCATCAAGATACTTACTACAAATCAAGGCAACGGCCATGCGCAACAGCTTGAATTGGCACTTCATTCCAGACCAGTTCTGGGAAAGGAGAAGGGAAAACAACAGAAACAATCCCTAATTAAGCTTTTCACATACATAGAGTTTGGAGGCTGTTTTGAATATATCAAGCAAATGGTGTAGGGCCACCCCTTCTTCTTCACACTCCTAGTGGGAACCACCAAGCGCTGCTGTGCTTTTCTGTAACCTCTGCTATGCTCTTGATTAACTAAGCTTCAAGGCAGGGAGACAAAAAAAAAACCTAAGGATTAACTTTATGAAGTCAATCAATTCCTTCTGCTTGTTTAGTCAGCAGCAATGCTGGCCAGAAGAGGGAGATGTTTTAAAAACAATCAGCATGATGGGAATCCTAGTTTAATTCCCCTGCACCATGCAAGAGTGCATAATCACATGGATTTCCAAATGTCTATTCTTTTCACTGTGAAACTGAACTCTTGTTTTCCCCCCAAATTTCTAGTTTGACTGCTGAGTAAAATATATGTGTGGGGCAGAGCCTGGAAATACTATTTTTGGGACTGCAACTCACACTATGCTGACTAGGGGATGCTAGAAGTTGGTAGTACAAAAGAATAAAGTTGCCAAGCTCTGACATTGGGGTAGAAAAAGAGAACGACTGATCAGCCAAATGATACATTGTCACATGTCCTCCAATGTTTTAGGGTGCAATCAGATGAGCAAATTGCTTGCTATTTGGTTTAGTTTTGGTGCGGTTTGTTCTATTTTCCAGTGACCCCACGTGTTTTAAGTAAGAGCAATCCTTGACACTCCTTTTGTGACCTGTCCTGCTCTTTCCAGCAGAGTGCCGGGGTTGCAGTTTACTTGGTGTGATTAGGAGTGCTCCTGATTATGCCATTTTGCAGCCTGTGTGGTTGCTTGTTCACTTCCAAATAGAGCTGTTGGTGGTGTTATCTTTGGTGACAACCCTGTGATATGTACAGTGGGCTGTGACAACAGAAAGGGTGATGGAGAAATCCTCTCCTCTCTTTCCTTTTCTTATAATTTTCTAATTTATATAAAAGTATAAGAAAAGGAAAGAGAGGAGAGGATTATAAGAAAAGAAAAATATAAGTGATGCAGCGCTATTTCACATATAAAGAGTATCCATGTTAGGTTGCTGTATTACTGCTGCGCTATGCCACTTACTAAATTAAACAACAACAAAAAGGGAACTTGCTGCAGCCTGCTCAATGACAGCCATGATGAAAGGCAGGAAAGGGGGCAGGGGACATCAATAATCAAAAGGAAGTAAATTAGAACAATCTGAAGTGCTGTAAATTAGAACAATCTGAAGTGTGGATCTCACATGAGAAGAAAGTTTCCTGTGTGAATAATCTGCATCAAAGAGCCTTTTAAATGCAATCCAGATCACTCCAAAGTCCCGTTGAGTCATGTCTTTCTATGTACAGTACTTTTTAACAACCTTTTCTCTCACTCAGGGAACTCAGGGAACTAGTATACCTCAATGGTTGAAATTCCTGTCTGTGGAACCAGGTGCTGGGAGTTCACATCCCCTTCCTGGGAGAAGGGCTAGCCAAGATCACTAAGAGCATGTGTGGCTGATTGGGTTACATGCCCTGTCAACCCATGTGGCCTTTGGAAACTGCACAATCCCAGAGCCCCACCAGGAGGGTTTGGTAAATCAGTTATGAATACTTTGTAGCTGGATCAATGGAATTAAAAATCAACTTGATGGCACAGAGCTAATTAATTATCCCATACCTAAAGAGTACTGCTGGAAGCCTTCTATTCAGTGTGATACGTGCCTGAAGACTTATCTTCAGGGACTGTATACTATATTCATGAATAAATTTTGCCTCAAATAGACTGAAGGATGTTAAACTAGGCAACTAATGCACAAATGGGCAACCCAAATGAAGAGGGTCAAGCTACCTTGTCTGGTACTTTTCATCATATAAAGAGGGCGGGGCAGCCCATAGTCCAAGCAGGGGAGAAGTCTTACCCTGAAAAGGCAGGGTACCCCCCCACATTGAAGTACAAAGGTATTAGTGGTGAGAGTCATGATAAGTAGTACTAGTCATAAACAAAATAACAGCATAATGGTCATTAGGATTCTGTGCCTATAATTGGCACTTTGTTCAAATATAATCATAGAGTCAATATTGTGGACTAAAGTAACAACTGAAGTTGATTTACGGAATTCATTCTTACCCAAGAGAGCAACAATCCTAATCTTTCCAGACTGATTGGGTAGATGAACTTTACTACAGATCTGTCTTGAGCAGCGCTAGCAACCTAAATTTGTCAACTATATAGACTGCTAGCATTTTCTTTTGGGCAAGTCAGCAAAAATTTCTACCCGTCAAAAATGTCTGGTCTCCTCCGGGTATTAAATATCACATTGCTCAGTGCCTGACTGTTATATTTAAATCTCATACACCTTTTCTCTAGGCCAGGGAAAACAGGTCCTGGCTGTAAACGACAGGAGGGAACAGGGCTTCAGTTGCTGCTACTCAGCATGCGCCACTGCATTTGAACATGCTCAGTAAAATGTTATTGTAGAAACACAACAGGTAGAATGTATCCATTGCTGCGTTGCTGAGTGCTTATGTAAATCCAACTCGGCCCAGCTTTGATCCTTATGAAGGTTGCAACTAGGCTAGCAGTCTTTGTGACTGACTGTAAGGAAGACAAGGCTTGGGATTCCTGTACCGACTGGACTGCCCCTACTTGGACCAGTCTCTGCACGAGTTGGGGCTGTATGGGAATCCCTCTTTCAATGATGCCAACTGTTTAAAGCAGTCCACTTCAAAGATACAGTGGTGCCTTGCAAGACAAATGCCTTGCAGGACAAAAAACTTGCAAGACAAATGGTTTTGGCAATAGGGTTGATGACTCGCAAGACAAATGTTCCTATGGCCGTGCTTCGCAAGAAGAATGTTTTCCATTTTTTGTTCCTGCCTCACGTTTGCTGATTTTTAAATGTTTTTCTCTGATGTTTAAAAAGTTCAAGTTTTTTGATTGAAATTTTTGAAATCATCTGCACAATATGTATGGCCTTAAAGAGCACTTAATAAACCCACTGTAAACCAAATTTGACTTTGTTCTGCATTTATTTTCCCATTGGAACACATTAATTAGATTTCAATGCATTCCTATGGGAAAACGCGTATTGCAAGATGAATTTTTCGGAAGACAACATTAAGCGCAGAACAAATTAAAATAAACCAAATTTGACTTTGTCCTGACTTTCTTTTCCCATAGGAACACATTAATTAGATTTCAATGCATTCCTATGGGAAAACGGGTTTTGCAAGATGAATTTTTCGCAAGACAACATTATTATTATTATTATTTATTTAATTTATATCCCGCCTATCTAGTCGTGGTGGACTACTCTTTTGTTCTCTAAGCGCAGAACAAATTAAATTCATCTTGTGAGGCACCACTGTATTAGGAAAACTTTTCTTCCTGCTGAAAAGACTCTCTTCTTGAGTTCTTACAAAATGTGAAGTCCTTGCAGAGATGCAGGAAAGGATGCAGGGTAGAACCGTTTCAGCCAGCCTTCAGATGTTGTTTCTTTCAGTTTCTTGTTAAACACCTCTTAAAATGCCCTCAGAAGTAACTACATGTTAGTCATTACTTAGATGTTACTTGTTACATCAAAAAAACTTGTAATTACTAATTATATTAGTTGACACTAATTTGATTTGAAGAGACCCTTGCCCAGCAGGCTGAGGCAAAGAGGAAGTCACAAAAGCAGCAAAACCAGGGAGCTGGACAGGGGACAGATTGGATTTGTCTTCAGTGTGGAAGAGACTGTCATTCTCGAATCGGCCTCCTCAGCCACACTAGGCGCTGTTCCAAGTCCTCCATACAGAGCACGGTACCATAGTCTTTCGAGACTGAAGGATGCCTAACAATAGTTGACACTCAAAAGTAACTAGTTATAGACAATTCGTTATTTCTGAGCTCTAGAATTAGACAATTCTTATTCATGCAACTGTTAAATTATCAATCAGCTTGACGCGAAATGTCTTCATCTTCGCATCTCTTTCAAACTGTTGATTGTTTAAAATGCATGGGAAAATCCTGCTTTAGTTCCAACCCCTATTTATCACAAAATGTCTTCCCAACCAAGGTTTCCTACAGTCTCTAAAAATATTATCTGTTCTATTCATTCTTCTCTCTTTTTTAAAAAAATTTCTGCAGACAACATGTACCAAGCAGTTTTAAAAACAGCTTCGTAGCGCACGCAGCAATTCACTGCAAGAAGTGTGATAAATGCCACATCTTAAGGCTGCTGAAACTCAGTTCTGCTGTAGAATGCTGCTCTTTTGGAAAACACTCTTCTGTGCTACAGAATAATGAACAGTGTAATCGTATGCATGTCAGCTCAGAAGCAAGTTTCAGTGCACTCAGTGAGATACAGTTATAACAGATAGCTATACCTGACTTGTTATACTGAAGATGTATTGACCACTATGATAAAAATCAGCTAAATCCAGGACAGTAGCCATAATACATTCAAAGATCATGAGCTATGGACACATTCTTTTTTCCTTCACTTTCTCTTGGGTCTTCATTCTTGCCAAGAAAGACCCCCTGATCACAACACAAACTTGTCTTCCTGATTATATCAACGGGCACTGTAAAGATGAGCAAATTAAGTTTTAGAAAACATAGTTTTATTGGATCCTACATCAGGCCTCAGAAACACATATGACTTAAAACCCTCTATGTGGAAATCAATCTGTGCCCAACATGGTCAGAGATGCAAAAGCACAAAGGTAGAGACATCTATAAGAAATAATATTTATCTAGGCTCCCTGCCTCTCTTGCTGTTTATCATCTTTCAATACACATATGGTGAGCTGTGAAAATCAAAGGTAGCCACGGCAGCAGAAGAGACAAGATGCTGGTTGCTAAGGCAGGTACAGGGTCTTCTCTGATCACTGCTAACAGTACTCCTACTGCTAGTTTTTCTTTTCTTCTTCTTCTTTTTGGTGTAATGATAAAGCAAAGGCTAAGACAAGGGTGTGGAGTCTCTGGTCCTCTAGGTC